CTTTTGAATAGCATTCTATTTATAACTTTATAATTTATAATTTATAATACTCTGTGTTTTCTCTGTGTATATTTTACATATGATTTTTATTCTTCGGTGTGAAATTACAAAGTTATTAAATTTTGTATAAACATAAAAGGTAAGGTCTTTTTTACAAAGTAAATAATAATAAAAAATAAAAAGAAAAAGAAGCATGTAAACTACCACAAGGTCTTTATGAATAAAATCCGATCAACAATTTATGTATATATTCAAAATATGTTGAACGAATTGTTGAATAAATTTTTTGCATAAAGATCTTGTGATGACTTACTATGCTTTTTTTTTATTATTTAATTATTATAATACGGAGATAGCTTAAGTTCTCTAGAGATGTTCATTGAACCCACTCAATATATAAATCTTTTTATCGAAAATGTCAAACAATTCAATTTTTTTAAATGTTACATTTGCAAATTTGGATTATTTTTATTAAAACATACTAAGTATTCATTTCTTTAAAATACAAATTATGCTATTTTGGTTCCTTGGAATTAATTTTAAATAACACAAATTAAACCGATTTTACAAAGCCTCAACGTCAACTCTGTTTGGCATCAACTCGGGAGAGTTAATAAATAAAAATTCGTGAAAATTTGCACGAGACGGACATTTACGTGGCGTCCTCGATTGGAAACGTTCATTACGGTTCGGTAATCAGTCGCGACGGTATTAGTTCTTAGACGGGAGAGGAGGATGTTCACCTCTACTCGTGGAAACTTTCTTTCGCGACTACGAGTTACGTAAAAACACCGCCGCGCCACGTCGAGTAGAAGCTGCATAGAAACGGCGGGAGAGCGCGAGGTTACGCGCACAGGAAGTGAAATAGCGCTATGCGAAGCCAGAAAGAAAGTTCTCGCTCGGTGTTTTCACTTTCATGGAAATTGCCCGCGCCCCTCTTTCTCTCCGCGATAGCATTACGCGAATTAGTCACGAATCATCAGCGTTGCTCGTTGCGCGCGGACAAGCAGCCTTGTAAGCCATCGTTCAACTTCTTCTTTAGAGAGAGAAAGAGAGCGGGGGTAGAGTGAGGGGGAAATTTTTTTAATTCCTTTGTTTCTGTAAATATTTCCGTTTTATTTCCTAAACTCCTAATTCATACATTAGAGGGACCGGAAAATAATGTCGTTTTTTTTTAAATGTCTTTGGCATTACTTTGAAGTAATACAATGAGCTGATAAATGACAAATGAATATCGACATGCGACAAACGACCTTTCCGATCCCCCTAATATTTTAAATGCGAAAACTTTATATGCTAATAAGTTTACAGATGTATTTCTCTATTGAATTTTTGATTTTGCGAAATCATGATAGCTCGTCTCTCCTACAGCACGAAATATTACAGTAATATTGCAGCAATATTATTTTGAAAGGTTGTAATATTTTATAAAACATTGCTGCAATATTATAGCAATATTCCTCTGTCCACAAAAATAAAATATTGTTATAACAATGTTATGCAATATTTCAATATTTATTCTATTTCTATCAATTGCTAACATATTATTGTTACCACACTCCAAAATACATACGATAAAGTTATGATCAAAAAATAATCGGGAGTCTAGAAAACACATCCAAGGTTATGTTCCCGAGTGCCACCCAGGCAATGTATCATTTCCTTGTTACTAACCAAGGATGACGTGACATCCAGAGAACATCCGGATGGTCCGAACACGCCTCAAAAAAGAATCTTCAGGGAGACTCGCTAACTCGATTTGCCTACTCTTTCATATAGGACGTTTTCTTCTTATGAGAAGCATATCCCTCTAATGGCGGGACCACGTATTTATTTACTGAATTGTAATAATATATTGCAATAATATAATGCAATATTTTCTACAAAATATTAAAATTACAATATTTTGTAATATTGTTGCAATATTTCCAATAAAATATTATAATTTCAATATTGCAGAAATATTGCTGCAATTTTTATAATATTGCGCACTATTGAAATATTACTACAATATTGCTACAATATTTCATACTCTAGAGGCTTTCATTTGTATTTAAATACTCTCTCAAACAAAAAATGAATGCATAGAAATGTGTACAATTAACCCTTTCAAGTAATATATAGGTAGTGATGCGTATGCAAAATACTCAAATTGTTCCCTTTAGAGTAGTATATTTTTAGAAATCAACTTAATAATCAATATTCTTTTTTATAATTTTGAATAGTGTATAAAAATTGTTCATTATAAGTTAAGTTGGAGTAGGAGCTATCATTATTCAAAATAATCTCGCGAAAGCGTGTATAGAACCGTTTGTGGATTATCATCCTTAGATCGTACGTCAAATTTGTGTTTCATAAGGGCCGAATTACGGTTTCCCTAGACAGTGAAATACTTGCCGTTCTCATTCAACTCTCTAACAACCAAGTGATTGTGATTGGAACGGACAACCAAGAAAAAGGGCTTCTGCATTTACTTTCGTGCTCTAAGTTGATAAAGAAATCAGAGAGAGAGAGAGAGAGAAAGAGAGAGAGAGAGAGAGAGCTATTTTTTATATTTTTCCGTGTATGCTTAATATTATATCGTATTTAAGCTTATGCGGGTTACATTATACACGGACGAGAGAAAGTTAACAATATTATCAATCTACATTTTAACCGCGTTCAAATTAGAATTCAAACGAAAGTGTAAACGCGGTGCGATGCACCGGAAGTTGTTGCGAGATAAAGAAATCTCGTTTCGCGCTTAATTAACGGTTTCGTTGCTTATCTTAACTTATTAACAGAGAAATTAGAAGCTTTTACAGAACTGTCGATATTGCATATTCATCATATGTGTATATTTTGCTTCAATTTATCATAAATGAAGAAATATAACTGATCTATTTTTTTAAACATGAACAAAAGTATACTTTTTGCACTTAAAGTGAAATAGATACATGTTTGAAATTTGGCAAAAATAAAAGGAAGTCTCGTATAACAGATGTGGGATCACTAGTATTATTTATCGTGTTAATAAATATGAAGATTAACAATAACTTTTAATTTTATCGTAGTTGACAATAAAATAAAAATGTGATATCAGACAATAAAATCATCAACATAATGTTAAACGTGCGTCGAAAAACATATTAAATATATAAAGCATGTACAGACCGAGCAATTTTACAAATTGTGATTAACCTATCTCCTAACTTTGTTCTATTATGAAGATATAAAATATTATTATATAAAATATTTTATTCATATTTTGCTGTATCATTTATTCATAATAAGTTTTTTAAATATAGATAAATAAAACTAAACATTATATCAAATTTTTATAAAAATGCAGGAAAAAAAATGTAAAGGTGTATCTATTTTACAACTTTTCAATGTGTATCTAATTTATAACTTTTCAAATCTTAATAGTGCAAGAATTTTTAATAGAAAAAATTTTTTCGTATTTAAGTTAAAAATCTTCAAAAATTACATTCAATAAAGATTGATTTTTCAATTTTTAATATAAGTTCTGTTCTTTAGCTATACACATTTAATGATAAATATTTCTTTCCTTTTATGCGAACTCTTATGAACACAATTCCATTGGTAATACATTCTTTAATATAGTACAGTAAGGTATTTCTAATAATAAATATTTGAGGCCTACCAACGTTAACAATTTCGAAAGATTTTAAGATCTACCTTTAAATACACAAAAAGTGTAAAGAATGAATAATTATTATAATCCTCTCCTATTATAAGGATGGTGTAGATTTTGAAAAACTATATGTAATTCTAAAACTCTATATCTATTAAAAATCAAAAATGTAAAAGAAGAGTGATGGTGCATTCCTTGTGACGCTTGCAACGATCATGGAATCATTTCATTCATGTTATTTATCAAATACTAAATAAGAACGAAAATACTCATGAACATTGCGAGCACCAAATGGAACGTATTCTAAATTAAAGTATATTGTGCATTTAAAATTTTGTCAAACTGTTTAATATTAGAAAAATAAAATTATTTATAATTTTATTTTACAACTCTTGCAAAAAGATAATTAACGTTAATTGAGCACTATGAGCTTCAAGCTGCTAAATTGGAAATAAGTCCTATCTCTCCAAAGATTAAAGAATTTATCATAACTATTCTACATGCGATTATTTTTGTGAATGGGTTTATTATTAGTCACAATGTAATGTATTGCTTTGTTTTGATTGTCTAGCAAACATCAAACTAACGATACTGCAGCTTCAAATATACGAATGCTACAAATACTGATACAATTTGACTTTGAATTAATCTACATATCTAAAGAGGAACTTTGATTCAAATTGAGTAAGTCATTTTTACGACTTGCAGTATCATCACGAATTGTTGTTTCTTTCTTATAGAAAGATTGAGCGAAATGTGATTAAATCTTTGGGTCACCATCAACTTTCACTACCTAACTATCCGTGATGGCATTCGGGTTAATCCCAATCCGCAAGATGTTGAAGAGGCGCGAATCCTAGATAATGGCTTTCCTGACCAGTATTAGATTATCAGATCCCTCAAGGGATCCGAAATAACGAAATAACAAATCTGCGAAATATCCTTATAACTAAGGCTCAATGAATATAAATGCGAGAAGCGATACACTCATTCTTAATTTCATGTTCCGGAAATTAGTGCTGTTAAACTTAATAATGAATTCTTACCATCAATAAATAACACAAAATGAACGTTTTAAAGCTCTTAAGAAAGAAAAAAGTTTAGATATATATATAAATCTGAAAATAATATATTTATAATATATAACTTTTTTGTAATTATTACTTTTTAAAATATATACAGCGTAACATGATAACCGACCGATAGCTTAATTAAAATGTTTAGATTATATCTACGGATCTTATATCTCTATTTATCCTTAATCATATTTATGTTTGCATCACGAAAAACCATTTGGAGTTTAGAGTTAATCACCTGTATTTTTATAGTGTACACACAATCTAATCGTGAATTATGCTTTTAGGTGAACAATAGCGTGTAGAAAAGAAAGAAGAATTGAACCATCTGAGTGCGACATACGAGGGAGGCGAAAGAGGTAGGGAAGTCTTGGAGGTGGTTAGATGTTAGAAGGCGCGGGGGTGGCTAAAGTGGCCCCGCCGCTGGGTACGGGTCCCGATGCCGGTCCCCGTATCGCAAACGCCCACATTAACCTCCACCCTTGTACCCAAGGAGGAATCAAACATGCCCTTCATAGACGACGAGCTATTCTGGTACTCTGACAATGACGGAAAGATGGATTTAACCCAGTGCCTTCAGGTGAGTAATCAGTAGTAGATTTAGAATTTGAGATTCTCGAAGAGATTTCTGTAATACTCATGAAATTTGGTAACGCCTGGAATTTATAGATGTAAATTTAATTTAAAAATTTCGTAGAATTTGAAATCCGAGGAGAGTTATATGAATCTAGATTTAGAATTTATTGATTTGTGAATGAAAATATGAGATCTAAGTTACATAAAATATCCGAGATACTCAATCTATTATAATTTATTATAATTTTACAAATGTGTGTGTTATATAGTAGCGAAATAAGTATCTATCTATGTAATCATAAGATAAGAGAATTGATCAAATATCTTTATCTCTATCTTTATCTTCAAATTTTTCGTGTTTTCAGCAGAGCAACACGGGCCAATCGGTAGAGTTTTCTACGATGGAGCTAAGTGCTCTGGTAGGAACTCCAACGGCATCGAATGTGCCGGTGGAGGAAGGTGCGGGTATGTCCGTTGTTACAGGGGAGGAACTTTTTGATCCCCTAGATTTCCTACGGGAGCTCGAAGCAGAGGCCAGCCAACCCACCTCCACCACAACGCCTTCTTCCTACAAAAGACAGAGGCACAATATCGCTGCTGCGAATCCTTTATTAGCAGGTGAATTGTATATTGTTCTTTATTCATATAACAGCAATAAACCTTTTTACATGTAGATGAATTGCAATACAAATAAAATGCTCTCCGTTTAGTGCATAAATTCTATATTTATAAGCAAGAAAAAATACAATTCTCGCAAGCAATTAGGATATATGTATACTCATACATATGCAGAACACACATCTACATATATGTGTAATCAAGTTTGGAAAAGTTACTTTATATGTTATCTATAAAGTAGTTTTTAGTTACCTTATACATTTTGTGTGTGTGTGTGTGTGCGTGTGCGTGTGCGTGTGCGTGTGTATGTGCGTGTGCGTGTGTATGTGCGTGTGCGTGTGTGTATGTGTTTGTAATAGAATATATGTTTGAGTACAAGAAGTAATATAAAATTGGTGTAATGATACAGTATAATATAAAATAATAAAATATCCGAACTTATTGTACTCAATTTCTACAATAAAAAATAATACTTATAAGTAATTTGTAAAGTAACTTTCCCAATCCTGTGTATACTGTATAATTATACATATATATGTACAATATATAATGTACAATATACAGGATAACAAAGCGACCGTAGCGACCAAAGCGTACCAAGCTAATTTCTTGAAAAATATACATTTTCTTGAAAAATGTTTCAGACAAAAAAGTTTTTCGACTTCAAGGGGAATATAATATGGTTTTGTACTAAAAATTCATTTCTACGTAAAAATGAAAATAAGAGATACAAGTTCAATGCCCTCGATTTTGACAAATGTTATCCAGGTCATGATTTTGAACAACATTCAAGAGGTTTTAGCCGTCAGTTAGACATCTTGGGTAATGCTAATGCCGGCGATGCTGTAATCTTCAAGCTTTATAATTCGAAAAGTACTTAATGAAAATGAACTTAATTACAGTGTTTTGGAAAGCTCTTGAGATAAATTACAAGAATATGTAATGAAAAATGGAGAGTTCCATTTAAAAAATTCAACATGACCTTGCCCAGACCTTGACAATGCCATTTAAGGTTTAACTAATGATGTCATATTATGTGTCCTTTGAAATCGAAAAACTTTTAAATATTTTTCAAGAAAGTGCATATTTTTCAAGAAATTATCCTGGTATGGTCGCTCTGTTATACCCGGTATAATGTATATATATACATTGTTCAAAAAAATTATATATCATAGAAAAATTGTTGGTAAAAGTTGGCCAACTTTGACTAACGATAACTTTACGAAAAATTATCGTAGGATAACATTTTTTTTTTTTTTTAATTAAAGCTTGAAATCTCTTTAAGACGCTATGCCCAGATTTTAAGTTTCATGCATCCCTGCCACTGTCTCAAAAATATGAGGGTGTGTTTGTCATATTGAAAATTGCAAAGTTTAACATATACTTTCCTCTTTAATTTAAAAACAAAACGAATCGTTGCGATTTTTTTTCATAAAGTTACAGCACTTTAAAGTCCCCCTTGCATTTTTGACATATACACTGAAAAAAATAATTTACTGCAGCAACCAATCTTTTTTTTCAGTGTACGACATTACCAGATATGCACCATAACGAGGTTGCAGGATGAATTTTGCATGTTCCTGTGTGTAAATTTTAATAACGCATATTACCTCCGCGTTGCTTGATTGTTGCTTGCAGTCGATTCCTCATATTAATGCAGACCCTAATTTCTTCCTGCGGAATATTATTCCAGATTTATACTAGGGCTTGTGATAAGTCTCTGATATTGACAGGTTGTCTTACCAAATCTCTTAATCTATGACCCATTATCTAGTACAAATCTAGTACAAATGGAACGATATTCCGCAGAAAGAAATTAGGATCCGCATTATGAGGAATCGACTGCAAACAGTAATCGAACAACGTGGAGGCAATACGCGTTATTGAAATTTATACGCAGAAACATGCAAAATCCATCCAGCAACTTCGTCATGATGCATATCTGGTAATATCAGTCGTATGTAAAAAATGTAAGGGTAACTTTAAAGTGTTGTAACTTTACAAAAAAAATCGCAACGACTCGATTCTTTTTTTTAATTAAAGGGGAAAGTTCGAATTTTATGCTACTGTAAACGGTATTTCTGAAAAAAAGTTTACAAAGTGCATTTCATCAAACTTTGCAATTTTCGATATAACAAATACACCCTCATATTTTTGAGAGTTACAGTGGCAGAAGTGCATCAAACTTAAAATCTGGCTATATAGCGTCTTAAAGTAGAGATTTCAAGCTTTAATTAAAAAAAAAAATGTTATTCTATAATAATTTTTCGCAAAGTTATCGTTAGTCAAAATTGGCCAATTTTTGCCTCCAATTTTTCTATGCCATAATTTTTTTGAGTAGTGTATATACATATATACATATGTTTAATATATGTATAATTTATAAGGATATAGTTCTATATAAATGAAGTTAAAAGTAAAATGTAAATTTGCAAATATTTAGATTCTGCATTTTAATCTTCTGTAGCGTAATAATTATTAAAGTCGAGTACAAGCTGAGCCCATCTATGGGTTTATATTTAACTTTATTTCGTAAGTACATCATAATTGCTTTGGACAATTATGATTTTATCGCTTATGAATATAGAATTTACGCATTAATAATCGCGAAAATTTACATATATATTTTACTTGTATTGGATTTATTTTTGGAGCCACAAATATTTTTATTTTCATTTATTTTACTTTAAATAAAACTAATAAGTACTTATTATTTAACTTTAAGTAAACTAATTGCTTTTTTACATTATGTGTTTAGAAAAATTAGCAGCGCCTTCAACGCAAGCGTCTCTAACTTCCATCCCTTACGCCTCAAGGGCGGAAATCAAGACGGAAAATATTCAACCTGAGACGAGTAAAGGTAAGTGATTAATGTTGAATTTCATCCGTCCTGTCTTAACATATGTCGATATGGCAGGAAAACATATTATCTGCCGATGGTGTGTTTTCTTCTTTATCGACGTATTAAATCCGCTGTTGATAATGTATATTTCGTGGATACTTTTGTACCGCGAGTGCGATGAGCTTTGCGTACAATCTTCTTTATTTACAAACGATCAGATCATCTCGATCGGTTAAATTGCTTTTCATGCGTGTCGAGAATTTAAATCGCGCATCGTTGAAAGGAAAACCGGCCAAGGTCCCGTGAATCGCGAGCAGACATCCGCGTTAGCGATAATTGCGCGTGTGTGAGTGACTCGAGAAAAAAGAACATGACACGTATGCGTGTGCGTACGGTGGCCCAATTCTTATAATTTACAGTCATGTTGTAATATGGCGCGCGCGCGAATGCAGTTTCACGCTCGTTTCGCGATTTTAATCTGACAAACATGGACATATCCGCAAAAATGACATTGTTATCTAACAGTGTGCGTAACTAATGAAAATATTTTCGGCGAATTGTTCACACTTGTGTATACATGCAAGTATGTAAAGTGACTTTATTTTTAAGTGATAACGATCATTCAGCTAAGAACCGGTTGCACCAACGTTACTTTGATTTTAAGCGAAACTCTTAAAACTCTCTCTATCTCGTTTTAAAACCAAAAAGAGACAGAGACAAAGAAAGTTTTAAACCTCGCTTAAAATTAAAGTAATGTTGATACAATCGGGCCTTAATCAGCTATATCAAATAAAAAGAATGATTAAAAAAAAAACGAATGATTACCGATAGAAATGATATTTCTGTACAATAATTTTGTCAGAAATTTCGAAATACACATTTATATATATTTTTTAATCCTTCAGCTGTTGAATACGAATCTGATATTAATGTTATTTATGTCGTACATCATTTACATTCGTTCGAACATGACAACTTGAACATATAATTTGTTTACAATTTCATGCATATAATAATAATTTGAAGAATACAATAATTTAAAAAATAATAACAATTTAAAATTATTGCTTTTTTTAAATATTTTTTAAAAATTTAAAAATTAAGAATTTTAGCTTTCGATGATACAACTTGTATCTCAAAAACTGTATCTACATATTTTTGTTCATTTTAATAAATTTCATAAATATTAATTCGCAGAATGTATATTCATAACAATTCGATTTGTAAATAAATAAATAAATGTATATGAATTCGGAAATTAAAAAACAAACACTAAATTCTATAAATTTTTAATTCCACGGAGAGCATAATTTTTGCAATTTTTAATTTTCTTATATGTTAAATTAATTTAATGTTAAATTTTCTTAATGTTAAATTATAGAGATCTCGAGAGGTGAATAGATCCTTAAAATTATACAGATTTTGCAATCCATAGATTTTATTAAAGCTTAAAAGCACGTATAAATAGAATAATAACGCTGTAAGATATCTTGTTAATAAAGCTTAATACAACAAATCTAATGTTAAATATTTACAGTTTTTTTTCTTTAGGAATTTTTATCTTTTTACACGCGGAACTTGATTCACAGATTGGCTATTCAGATTTTTTGCAAGTAAATTTCGACGCGCGGGTTATGTCGAACTTTTGACGAGGCGGAGCCTTGCAATTTCGTCCTGACCGCAGGCCGCGACGAGTAATTACGAGCCGTTAGAACACGAATTGAAATGGGTGCTCATCGTTGTTCTTTTCACATTTTTAGAAAGCGGTTGGAAAGTGAGAAACGAAACTTTCTAACAAAACTATTACAAATACAATTCGAAATCCACTTGCGCGCCCTAATATTATGTTCAAATTCAAATCAAATTGTGATAAAGCTAAAATCCACGAAAGCGGCAACACTGTTGCTTTTCACGGCAGTAATAATTTTCTCCATGAAAACCGAAGTTGAATATTTGATTATTTAAGTTTTTTTCATAGGAAGAAATTAAAGAGAGAAATAAAACATTTTTTTATTTTTCGAATACATACAATTAAATTTTATATCCATTAAAATAGAATTATACTAGTTATGATACTAATAATGAAAGAAATAAATTTTTCTTTTTATTATTTTAAATTTTATTTCGGTATACATATATATATAAAGTTGCTTAATTACATTGATGAGAAATGCTTACATGTATTCATAATAATTTTTATAAATAAAAAGAATAAAACACACACACATATTGATTCTTATATATATTTCGTGAAAATTACATTGTTCACAGATAAATTTTTCTTATAACAGTTTAAACGAAATATTGATACATATATTATATGTGTATATATTACGCGAAATTAAAAAAAAACAAGTTAACTCTTGTCAATGCAGAATTTTAGTACTATTGTGTTTCACAAAAAAAGAGGTTCCTGCAAAAAATGTGAAACGGTTAGATAAAGTCTACGCAAAGTTGTTTTTTATTGTCCGAAGGCTGGAGTATAGTTCGAAGGATTTGAGGCGTTACAGGAAAATTCACATAAAAATATAAAAATTTTTACTGTTTAAAATTCGATATAAGTATTCGGATATGCATTGGCAGAACGCATTGGTTAAAGAATCCTCTAAAAAAATCTCCGTTATGACAAGTAGAATCGAATACGGTGCACTTTAAAAAAAAATTTACATTTTTGCTTTTATTAAAGTATTCACGATTTACATTTATTCGCGAATTAGCTCACTTTAAGTCTCATTTGAAACTATGTTTCTAATTGGGACGCGAAAGTGGCGATTAATCGGATTTAGTTTATTAAGGATATCCCGTGTTATCCGACAGATTTCGATCGCGATACCTGATGAACTCGTTAGACAAGCAGAAGGAAAGCGAGCGCATGGCGTGTATGAGTACGCTAGTTTTCTGACGTGCGTCTTCGGCACAAGCATCACTTTCACCGAGCACTCGATGCGTAACGCGACGCAAAAAGCGGTTTTTCGCACCGATACGCTGCCGTTACACGCTCGATCGAACGGCCGCGCGCGCGTGGAATCGGTCGAATTATTATTTGCGAGCGCGTGCGTGCGATTTATTAACGTTTTCGTCGTTTTCGTCGTTTTCGTCGTTTTCGTCGTTTTCGTCATTTTCGTCTCTATGCGTCACCTTTTCTCGTCTCGAACGTCCGAGGTGGCGGCGAAGAAACCGCCTGCGCCGCGCCGCCGAGCGCCAGCTCGTGAAAACAAAAGTAGGGCAGATGAAAGTAATCTCGCATTAAACGTCGGAACGTGAATAACTATATAATTCACTTTCGGTTCGGTCCCCGTTACGGGAGCGTCTATCGGCTCGGTGCAACATGCACATTTCTTCAGACGACTTTCCCGATTTATTAGACTGCATAGAGACGAAACGATCAAAGTCTGATGTCCGTCGAACTTGTTTAATCATGACTTTCGTAACAAAAAAAAGTTCTGCTCTGCTAAAGTATTGAAAAATTTAACTATAATATATGTAGATACAGATATGAAAATAACTTTGTTAGACTATTAAAATAATTATGTAGGACGCTCAAGCTGATTGTTAGAACATTAAAACTTTTTGTAGCATTGTCTAAATACAAGTAAAATGCCTGTGATATGAGCTCCATGATTGTTATGCGTAAATAATTGTATTTATAAGTTTACAATATATAATTAAAAAAAAAAAATTAATTAGAGTGTATCGAAAACGAAGTTAATTACAAACATTTCGACTGTAGATCTAATCCTTCTCACTGCGGAAGAATAAGATATGTCAATATATGTATGTATTAATATTATTTACTAAAACTACGGAGAGTCATATAAGTCGCATTCTACATCGTGTTTAGGGTCATAAAAATGAATTATTTGGAATTTTTTAAATTCATCACGAAAACATGTTAGTGCACATATTATTGTAAGATAATTATTAATTATTATTGTGTAAGATTGGAGGTTACAACAACAAGCAAATACATAATGTATGTGAAGTTAGCCCTCCTTTTTTTAAAAATTAAAATTTTAACAATTGTTTCAGATTATTCTGAGTTTTTTCTATACTATTCCAAAGCGATATTATCTTATTTCAAATTTTTTTCCAATAAAATGGATTTTTTTTGCTGACTCCCCTTTTTTGAAAAATTAAACAATTTCTTCTTGCAGATTCTAGTTGTTCCAAACATTGTTCCAAAAGGACAATTTCGTATGACGAACGGAAATAGCAAAAATCAAAAAAACATTTTCTTATCCGGCACCTCTTTTTTCAATAATCGAACAATTCATTGTCGCCAGATTATTCTAGTTGTTCCAAACATTGTTCCAAAAGGACAATTCCGAAAGTCGAACGGAAATCGAGGAAAATAAAAAAAACGTTTTTCAACAAACGAACGCTCCGACCAAAAGTTAAAGGTACACTCTCCTTATTCCAACACAGAATTTTATATTTTCAGTCGTTCTAGTCCTATGAAAGATAATTCTGCAGTGTGAATTTAGCCACCGCTATCGGTTCTTCCAAAAATTGAAAAAATTGATCTCATTAACTACAATAAGAGTAAATCGCTATTAGTCTTCTAAAAAACGAAAAAAATCCATTTTTTACATCCACTATCATCAGTAAACGTGCACTTCCTTTCGTGTCGAGAACTTTTTTTTCTGAGTTGTTCTAGTCCTCCGAAACATAGTTCTGCAGTATGAATGATACATCGTTACTTTAAAATGGCACATCGGTATATACATAAATACATATAAACGTCCGCCCGCGCGTAAATACTTATTTATATCTGTCAATAATAATATAATATCAATAATACACGGAATTTTTAAAGAATAGCTTGAATGAATCAAGATTATGTGCAAAAAGTAACTATATGAGGAGGTTGGTTGGAGATATTTGTTCAGAGCGAGAGTACAATATATCCAAAATGTACAGTGTGTGTTGAAGGTCCTTTAATAATATAAAAAAATTTTTTAGTTTTAAGCAAGTAAATGCAAAATTGTATCTTCTTTTGAAAAATCTGAAAAAATTCC